TCTAGTGACTTTCAGGGAGAACCAGAATTCTTATGACAGGGTTCATAGAGGTGCTCTTGTAAACCCCAGCTTGCAGCATCCCAGCAGCATCCCAGAGCTGGGTTCACTGGGGTATCTGGGGCAGTGGCTTGGGACTGACCCTTAGGGAAACTGGAAAGGAGTCCTGAGCACAGTAGGAAGAGGGAAGTGGGTTCACATCATCTCTGCAAGGCTTGCTGGCATGAAGGACCTTCCCCATGACATGATACACAGCAAGGTGGCTGAGCAATGACCCCTCAAAGGACCTGGTAATGATCATCTGAGTTCTGCAGGGTGGATTTGAAAAATCCACTCGGCAGCCACTGTGCGACTAACGTGAGCCACATCTCAGGCACGTTAGCTGTGACTGGGCCAAGTGATCTGGATGTTTTTGATGACAAAGTTTAAAGATGAAAAGGAGATCAAAATGCCCAGGATGATGTTTCAATATAAGTGAGTGCAGCCACCACCATTTATTTACAGCAACTTAATTGTCGTCAATATTGTGACTGTGAAACATCTGCCCCCAGTGCAGTGACAAGGAGGGTCTGTGAGCAGCAATGCACAGCCACAGTCATCCCCTTGGCAGTGAGCCGTGCCAAGGGAAGGTGCTGCTGCCTGTCCCAGAGCCCAGATGGGACCCAGCACCAGGCAGCTCAGTCTCCCTTCTTGGGTGCTGGGAACTCTCTGCCACCGTCACCGACCTGCAGCTGCACAAGGACCTCTGAGCTCGTACCCGGCATATTCATTCTGATCTCACAATCACCTTTTTTATACATTATCGAGCACACTGAAACGTAATCAATCATCTTTTACTTAATTGCATCTTGTCACCACTTTAGCTGTACACGTATTCCTTGATTAGCCAAAACAATATGATGGAAACACCATGAAGAGCTTGCTTGATGCATTTGTGTTAGAGAGGGGTTAATATCCTAGGGAAAATGATCAGTGTAAGGTGCATGTAATAAACTGCTGTCATGACCTCTAGCCTTTGAGCTCCCATATGAGCAATCATTGTTTGTGGTTTCCGTGGAAGTGCCAGATGCTAAGAATTTTTGGCAAGAGTTTATCAATTTGACTCAATATAAGATATTACTGTGATATGGCCCATTAAATATTTTGCTTTCACCTGACTGGGGACATTCCCTTGACAACAGAAGAGTAAAGGAGAAATCAAAGAGGTCAGAGGTTGCTGTATAAACTTTTACTGCAAGGTCCCAGGTTAAAACCACGATGATCACACTCCAGTAGGATAATTTATTCCACAAAAAGAAAGTGACATTTATTTTGCTTTAATCAACTTTGGCCTTTGCCAGCTATCGCAAGCCCACTGGAAATCCTGCCTATGCACCTTCCCTGGACCAGCAGCAGCCCAGCTGGCATGGAAAATGTTACACATGCCAAGGGCCTGAATGTCTGTGTGTATGTGGCTCCAAAGGTGGCAGAACATGGGGCAACAAACAGCTAAGGCATCACCATATGACACACCAAGGGAGAGGAGATAGTATGTACAAGCATGGAAAAAAAAGGTGGCAAACAGTAATCAAAAAAATCAGCAAAGAATTATACTTCATCTATAAAATGGGATGTCTGATTTTTTTCCCTTGGAGATGGATTATTTTTCAACATCCATCCCAGATGTGGAGGTAGAGTTGGGACAAGACAGTTCTCCAAACTGTAGGTCACATTATAGTTCTCATATAAGTCCCTGTAAACACCAAGAATGCCATTTTGATCCTGCCAGTAATGAGATATGAAGCAAGGCTGTGCCTGTGTGAGGAATCTACAAACTGGAACATCTGAGAGGCTTTTCTGACTGTAAAGTAGCACAGCAGAGGGGAGAGGAGGGAATCGATGAATCCATCGAGATTGGTGGTGCCAAATGACAAATGTCTACATGTGCCATATGAAATCTGCTTGCTTCTGCCCTGCAAGCAGTGAGGATCACCTGAGTTCTTTATAGATGTTGGCTATCATGCAGAGAGAAAGGAAATTGTTATTTATTTTGATACACGAGGAAAGGAAAAAAATACTTGAACAGGATGGTTAAGAAAAGAAAATCCTTTAAATTTCAAAATGTATCCAGGGGCTCACAATGCTTAGTTGAAACCACATCCTTGCCAGAAAGCAGGGAATGGTCACCAGGCAAAGCATATGGACACAGCAGACCCACATTCCTGGGGATGGCAGCAATCAGAACCTACACTGACAGGGACAGGGACAGGGACAGGGACAGGGACCGGGAACGGGCCAGGGACAGGGACAGGGACAGGAATGTCCCCTGGAACCCTCACAGAGCCACCAGCCCCTTCCCTGACCGAGGCTGTGTGTGGCACTCAGGGGCTGCTCTGCAATTCAGCAGTGGGAGGGCAGCCCTTGGACTGAGCTCTGCCCCTCGCACCATGGGCACACACACAGACAGACACAC